ACCCTTCTGTCATTGTAGAAATGACAATATATTTTCAGAACTTTATTAACTGATAATTTATTCACTTGACTTGTAAGTAGGCTTATAAAAAGAAATTTGTAGGTCAGTAATACTACTACAACAGTCCATGTTGACAATTCCTCGATTGCCCTTAAACTGTACATGTAATTAATGGATGACCCCTTATTCACAGATCTGTTTGTTTATTTATTTTTTAGGAGTTATATCATGCAATGTGTTCTATTTTTATATAAGAAATAATACCATGTCAGCAGATTTAATGTAATTTATATCTCTTAAAAGTACTAAGTACTTAGTGTAATAAATTAAATAGTAATAATTATAGAAGTGTTTTATAAGTGTAGGAAATATAAAATTAATAGTAAAACACTTTTAAAAAATTTTAATAACTGAAAATGTTCATTTTGGAGATTTGATTGTAAAGTTTAAAATTTTATAACATAATAAGTTTTCTATACTTAAGGCCAGGACTGTTTTTCAGTTGGAATGCACTAGTATGCTGTACTGGCAAATGGCATAAAAAGCTTCACTAGTCAGTATGTAATCTGGCAGTTTCTCAGTAAAAAAATTCTATATGTTCAGGCAAGAAGTCTGCTGACTGGCACAACAAAAATAATTGACAAACTGCCACTCTGTTGGCCACAAATGCCCTGAACTGATTGGAAAGCAAATGGGTGGGAACCTCTTTCATCAATGGCTATCTTTTGATGAATGGACAATACTATCTGCTAATTGTCTATTCCTATTTCATTTTTGTCAAGAAATGAGATACGGAGATATGCTAACGATGATATTTAAAAAGTAAAGGTAAAGACATGAGTACTAAAAGACCATCATTTAGTAACTTGATACTAAATCTGAAACAAGTAGGGAAGATAGTGCAGATGGACCTTTGAATATATCCTCAGAAAGAGTGCATGGATAAATAGTTTAATTTGAAAGACTGAATTCCTAAATTCTTTGTTTTGCTTGCTAGTCCATTTAGATAAACTAATGCAAGAGCAAAAAAACACTCTTTTAGATAATTTCCTTGACCTTCAATGAAAGATCTTGTAAGTACCCAAATTTAAGCCTGAAACTATAAATAAAAAAATGCAGTGCTAAAAATACAGCAACATTTTTGGAAAATATCATCTCTAAGTTGATTATCATAATTTGTTAATTTCATATTCAAAAAATACCATTTTATGCTCATCTTATTTACATATCTATAAAATATTTTTAATATAAAAGTATGTGTTTTTCTATTTAATTATTTTAGTTTATAAAGTTTGTCCTAAAATAGCTATGCCAATCTTATCCCTTTGGTTCTAGAAGTTTGAAACATTGTTGATCTAAAAACTATACTATTGAATTTAAACTCTAAAGATCAAAATGTTGTAAATTTAAAATTTCAAATAATTATATTTGTTATTGTTTTAAAGGATTTTTAATCTTAAATTGAACAAATTATTTAGTAGTTATACTTGAAACATCTAATCTATTAAGTTCAGAATTTATACTTAAAATAACTATCATTACTCATGATTAAATAAAGCCTCTGATATGTAACTTGCTCATTTTTGTTTTTTTAATGATTCTTATTGAAAACATTCAGGTGTTGAATTAAATAATTCCTAAAACATTGCTTATATTTAATCCTGTCAACAATTTTAATAGATTAGGTCTTGTTTATTTTTTCATTACATAGACCTATGAATACATACAAACTTAATTTTTTTAAAACGTTCAGAAAAAACTTTAATAATTAAAATAAAAATCATTTTAAAATTTTAAGCAGACATGCATGATATACAAATTTTAGTTTAATATATAACTCCTAAAATAATAAATCAGCAAGATACACTTGATAGTAAGTTTAATTTTATTCTTTTAAACAAAATTTTTCATTAAAATTATTGAATTTTATATAATACATTAAATGTTAATATTTAGATAGATTATTTTCGTAAGATATTAAGTTTAACAATGATGTTAATGAAAGTAATGATATAGTATTAGAAAATTAAATATATTAAAACTTTGAAATAAAATTTTAAGATTATGAATATCAAAAAAATCAAAAAACAGCACACTTATAAACTGGAAATGTATAACTAATTAATCAATACCTAAATGCAATTTTCAGCACATAATAAGCCTTCCAACAGTAAATTTGTGTTTATTATGTGCTGAAAATCGCATTTAGGGGTCGATTATTTAGTTAATTTGATTATGAATATAACTTTAATTAATAAATAAATAATAATCTCTAGTTTATGATAATGTATATCTATTTTTATATTTTGTTAAGTGAAATGAACAATAAATAAATTTATGAAATAGGCTTAATTTTTTATTCTAATTAAATACAAATTTATTGATTTTCATTATAAATTATTGTAGGAGAAGAAACTAAGCTCAGGTTCTCTTGGAAGTGCAGATATAGCAAAACCAAAACAGGTAACTGTAACACATCCAGGAACAAATAAAGCAAAACCCACCTCAAAAAAGAAAGGTTCTATCCAAGCAGATTTGGTGAGTTTATTTGTATTCAAAATTTCAAAAATTATGATTTCGTTTTATCTTAATAAATTTTAAATTTCTGTTATATTACAATTTTAATTTGTTCTTTTAAAACTGTATATTAATTGCTTTACAAAATTTCTCATAAATGGTCTACAAATTTTATTTCACATGATTCCTAAATTATAAATAAGGCTTACAATTTTATAATATTAGAATAAAGTTGAAAGTTTATTGATATCACTTGTAATGAATATAGAGACTTCAAAAGAAATAATGAATTTTTGATTTGCAAAATTGTGCATCCATTATCAACTTGGAAAATCAGTGTTATATTTAGTATAAACAATAAATCATAAATACATTATAGGTTATTCTTATTTTATGCCAATTGACAATAATACTGGTTTGAAATTTTCCTCAAAATATCTCAAGGAAGTTTTTCTAGAATGTGGAAATATTTTTTTGCAAAAACTAAATGCAAATATCGAATAATTAGCAAATTTGATAGAACACTTAGATACACGAAGAGAGAAGGTAACAAACAGTGATGAATCATAGTGTGTTGTAAAGGTAATAACTACTGACATGCTTAAACGATTTCTTGCTAATGTCATTGATAGAAAGAAGATTGTTGTAAAATGGACCCTCATTGGGAATGAAGTGACTTTGTAAAGAGGAGTTTAAATAAAGCCTTAGCACATTATGAAATTCTCTAGGTAAGGAAAGAAAGGAATGGCAAACAAACAACTTTGGATTTATATTTTACGAAAGTGCATGATCCTCCATCTAGCTTGTTATTAATTAATAGACAACTCAACATCACAGAACTAAAGTTGTGTCCAGCAGCTCTACTGTATGAGGGGAATATATAAAAATTGTATTATGGATTTTGGCTATAAATAAATAAGTTATTTTTTTCCTGATTTTATTTATCACCTTCAACAGGAAAACATCACCAACATAAAATGAGGGAAGCCTGTATATTAGACAAAGTGAAAAGAAATAATTGTATTTGACTATAAGTTTTTGATTATATTGACGATGAAACTTTTAAAAATCAAATATACTTCATATAGTAGATGAAATTGTATTATTTGCAATTTTGACTTATTTATGCTATTTCTATGATTATAATCATGATTTCATTATTCTCACATCAATAATGTGCATAAATTTTAAAAAATAAGAATATGATCTGATGTTTCTACTAACTGTAAATTGTTATCTTTCTTTTAATGATTTTTATTTATTGCTTATGGCCAGTAATGACAAAATACAGAGCTTTCGTTTACTCTCATTTTTAATCATCAAACTTAATATTTCCACAACTTTGACTCCCAACATTTTCACTGGTGAGTCAGTTTGTGACTCATTGAAATTTGACATTACAACTATCAATACGCTGTATCTGGTATACAAGAATATGAGATTAAAAATACAAATACTGTATGACATAGTGGCCAACAATCTAACCAAAATTGGGGTGCCCTCCATTGGATAAAGATTAAGCTGTGTGTCGCTTGAGTGAGTATAAACTTACCAAATTGGTTTTGCATCATCATTCATTTTGATCAAAAACTTTATTACATTTTCCAACATCATTTATGAATATTTAAACGTCATTATGAATATTTTGTATTTACAGAGTAAATTTGACAAAATTTCAAAACGAGATTTAAGATTTTCTAGTTTTTCTACATTATATTATTATGGCTGTTATAAGTACTTAATTTAGACATAATGATGTTTGGGTCTGAATCATCATTTATCTTGTTAGAACTAAATCAGTTATAAATTGTTGGTATCAAAACATTGTTTTGGTAACTAAATTGAATTGATCTTATTGTTTTTGAAACTGAAGTAATTGATGATTTTAATCATTTAATAAAATTTTCAAATGAATTCTTTATTTTCTTAAGAGTATTTGGATTATTTTGTTTTATATTTAAGTTTGAGAAATAAATTCTATTTAATAACTTATAAACACCTCCCATACTTATTCCAGCGGGTACATTTATTAGAAAAAGCATACGTTTTTCAGTCACTTTTGGGGACCTTTGACAGGTTGCCATACCTTCTACAATAAAATGTGTTTTCTAAATTCCATATAGAACATTCTGTTTGGAATTTCAGTTANATTTTCTTAAGAGTATTTGGATTATTTTGTTTTATATTTAAGTTTGAGAAATAAATTCTATTTAATAACTTATAAACACCTCCCATACTTATTCCAGTGGGTACATTTATTAGAAAAAGCATACGTTTTTCAGTCACTTTTGGGGACCTTTGACAGGTTGCCATACCTTCTACAATAAAATTTAATAATAAAAATAACATATTACTACCTTCATTTCTATGATTTTGGCATATTTTGATCTCAAAGTTTGATAATACATATAAATCAATTATTTTCTGATAAGTATATATTCACAATAATACAATTTCATATGGTAATATATAATTGTATTTATAGATTTTATCAAGATATGAAATCAAAATATCTCAAAATTATGAAGGTAAGATTATTTTATACCTTCAAATATATAAGAATTAGTTCACTTAGTTAAAATTTTGAAATGTGAATATTAAGCAATGTTAAACTAGTTTATCATCAAACAAAAACATGGAAATAAAAAGTTCTCAGTTGTTTTTAAATTACACACTATTAAAGAATAACATAATTTTGAATACAAATATACGAGCGCTAAGACGGCTTTTCTTTTTCACTAGACTTATTACACCATCAATGAAACGGAAAACAAACTTTAGAAACTTTCTGTTCTCTCCTTTCTGTTTCTGTTAACTCAACATTGTGTCATGCTTACTGGGATGTTTTTTCCAACACTATGTACTGTACCAGGCCGTCATGTTTGCTCTTATACCTATTAAGCAATAATCACCATCCATGTTTTTTCTAATGTCACAACTCCTGCATTTCTCATAGTCCATTTGTAACACAAGTGTTGAAAAGGGATATAATTATCCGAAATGCATTCTCAAATAAATAAAAAGTCTTTCTAAAGTTTGTTTTCTGTTTCATTGATGGTGTAATAAGTCTAGTGAAAAAGAAAAGCCGTCTTAGCACTCGTATATTTGTACACAAGACTAGACAAGAAGCATATCGCATAATTTTGAATATATTTAAATTTTTAAAAAAACTCTGTAAACATTATCCAATAATAATCTTTTGAATAATAATTCTTATTAATTATGTATGTTTTAAGAAATGATTAAACTGCATAATTCACCTGATCATTCTTAGATCTTTACATTCTATTGGTATATTATTCATTCCAAACAAGTTTATTCCTTATTAAATGATTTAAAGGACTATAGTTTACATCTATCATATATGGATAGCTTTCTGATACCTCTTTTAAGCTTCTTATCATACATCTAATCTAGATATTGAATACGTTAATAAAAGTATATTTGATTTCTTGGTTTTGTTTTTATTCTTGTTACATTAGAATTTCACTTTTTATAAGAATAATCTTATTTATTTTATCATGCAATGATTTTTTTATTCTTAGAGAATATCATAATTCTAAAAAGAATGCTTGCTTATTAGTGTAATTTAATCATTTACAAGAAATTTCAATGCATATTTCAGCTATCAGAAATTAACTTGTTTGTGAACAAAAGTACAGTATTTATATAACTTTACAGCATCTAAATTTTGCTTCAGCACTTTAAGAAAAACCATTACTATTTTATAGAGGTCTTATGACAGAAATTCTTGTTTTAACAAATTTTAGTTGTGTTGGATGATGAGCTGAGAAAGTTTTAAAAATGTTTAATACATTAAAAAAAGTAAAAGAGCTTCTATAAAATAGGGTTTTTCTTAAAGTGAGTAAGTGATGTTGGGTTGAAGATTAATGATGATATATTTTGCTTAAGGTTTTCAAAATAATTGATTTCAGATATTTGTAGCAAATAATAGTTTATAATTTCTAAGTTCATCTAATTTATATAACATGTTTTAATTATGCTTTGGATAATTTTTAAAGACAAACTACATTTTCAATAAAGGAAGATAAATAAGATAGTTTTCTGTAAATATAGTGTGTATATATAAATTAGCTATTTTAAGAAAAAATTATATAAGAAATGAGGTAATCTTTTTTTTTTCTTTCTTTCTTTTTCTACTAAAGTTATGCCATCTAATTCAAATACTAAAAGATTATTCATGAAACTTATGATATGATTAGTTTTTATTTTTATATTTCCAAGTTATATATTTTATTTGAAGAGCTGAGTGTAAAAGGGGCATATGCAACAAAAGCATGTTTTGAGAAATTTAATATTGAGTTCTGGTGTATAGCATGCCCAATAATAATGATACAGGTTCCAAAATTTGTCTGTAGGGTCTTCTTATGCCTGAAATTTTTCTAATAAGTATTCACATACCATTATTTGGAAATATTTTTAGTGTGAAAGAAGTATGCAAACTTTAAGGTTCACATTTTTGTATTGATACATACATTTATAATGCAATTAATTATTTTTATTTTTTACAAAACTATAGGGGATCTATGGTACATATTATTGATTTGCAAAATGAACATCAAATAGAACATCTGCTTCCTGGGCTTCCTGATATTTATTTATACAGTACTGAGAAGAAACTCCTCTGTTGCAGGATGTAATTAAGCATTTTGTAGAGTTCATTATATTTTTTTGTGTAAGTTGCACTATCATTTTGTCACTTCAGTGGGACATCAGCATGTCAGAAAGGGTGCTATCTTCCCTTGTCAATAAATGGTCTGAAGATACAAAAATTGACCTTAATTGAAAATTTGAATTTTGTTGCATACACCTTTTACATTTAACCTTTCATTTATAAGATTATTGTTAAGGTATGTCAAAAAAATATGAACTAAGTGTAATTTTTTTAAGAACTGTTTATTATATCAAGATGATACAAACAATATTTCTTTAATAATAATATAATGATTGAAAAATATATTAAAGGCTATAGGCATTATACTATTCTAGCTAAATACTGTCCATACCATTAAAGAATCTCTTCTACATTGATGCTTTGAAAATCTCTCTGGTTCTATTCTAAGATTATGCCAGTAATAACAAACATCAGGATTGTTTAGATTAAATTTATTCACTGTGAAATTCAATTTTCTTTTATTGCTCAGTCCAGAACATTCATTCTGAAGCCAAATTCAATCTTTTCTTTTTATGTTGTTATTTTAGGTTTATGTAACTTCTTGTTAAAAATGTTCCTAGATGTATGAAGAAAGTTTCCTATATTTGATTTGGATACACTTAAGTTTGAATTTAATGATAGTTGCCTGTAAGATGTGTTCATCTTGATTTCTGGCATAGTTTGTTGTCCTTTTGACTTTTTCTTCACACAGTTTTCTTTTAAATTTGTATAGTGTTATATAAAAGTTTGAGAATGATTTAGTTGAGATGCTACAAATCTGATAGACAAACCTTCATTATGCAAATCATTAATTTAGCTTTTTTCATAATCCGTTAATGGTTTACCATGACTCATTGTTTCTTTCACCGATTGTAATTTCAAATTTTAACAGTTATTCTATTTATATTTATAGCTTAGTAATGTTGTCAACAATGCATCTTCCTTTTCCTTTTGAAAATATTAGCTTTAAACCAAAAACTTTCAAATGTTATGTTTAGAACTATTATTTTTAGACACACTTCTTTTCTGGTTTTTGTCATTTTCTTTAATATATTTTTCTCTATTTAAAATTAAGAAAAACAAATTATTGTACTGAAGCCAAATGATTGCCGGATTAGTTTGAGCTATATTCCTGCTACTATTAATAATTAAATGCCATTGGGATTATGGATGTTTATATTTGACAATCATTGAACATTGTTAATTAGAGAAATATTGTTTGTACCAAGATAAAAAAAATCATTTCTATCATAGAGCTATTTGAGTTTACATATATTTTTTTGTTTTTTTATACATGCCTTATAAAAATCCCAACATTTGAGGAATCTATTAGAAAGTCTTTATTTTGTTTCAAAAGATATCTTTATATATTTTTATGAATAAAAATAATTAGACTTCATTATAATTAGATTATTAATTTAAGTTTTTTTTTTTTAAATCAATCTTGTAACAAAAAAAATACTGCCTTTTGATTTAATGAAATATAAAATTTCTTGTTTATAATGCATAATCATTTATAATCTCTTAGATATGTAGATTTGCAGTTCATACATAACTTGAATAAAATTCAAATAAAAATAATAAATGGCTGCTTTTCAGAAGTTTAGTATTAATTTATTTTTAAATATTTTCAAGAAATTATAATTTTCAGCTTAAAATTGATAGAACTGCGAATTAATACTTTAATAATTCTATTAAAAGAGCATTGTGAATGAAAACATGCTATTTTAATAGATTTATTAGAAGGTAAATTTTTTTGTTTATTTGGAACTTTTTGGAATTTAAAATGATTTTTTAAATATATATATATATATATGTAAAACATGAATTAATATTTAATAACAGCAAAAATCTGTAAAAATAATATAATTTTCAACTTAAAAACCTTTTAATGCAGTAGTATATATAACTTTATTCTGTTTTTGTTCATTTTAAATGATCATCTTCAGGAAAAACATTCTAATAAGAACAAATGCTTAACCATTTTTTCTTATTAGAATGTTTTTCCTGAGGAAGATCATTTAAAATGAGCAAAAACATTAGAATATACTGCATTGAAAGGTTTTTGAGTGAGTATTTTGTAAAAATGCAGTTTAGAAAGGAGTAAATAATAATTTTCAATTTTAATTTAAATGAAAATTTACTTTAAAGAAATAATAAATACAGTAATTTATTTAATCACTTAATCTAGATTGCTTATCTCTTTATATTCATATGAAATAAAGCAAGTATAATAATTTAGAATGTATAGTTTTATATAATATCATTAAAATGCTTATTATATCAAATGTATATATGTACAAATATAGCCATGAATTATCACTTGTTAATGATTTCATTGTGCGTGTCACTAACGGAGAGCTCAGTTGCTTCCCGTCACTAAATTATTTTCTAACATTAATAATTTAAAGCAGAGAAACCTCGTTAAGTCGAAGTTATAACAGTGAATTTAAAGTTTTTCTATTAACTTGAAATAATTCATTTAAAAATTTTTTTATAATGGTTTATCTATTTGCAAAACTTATGTTGATTTAGAAATTCATATAACAAAAGTTCTTTTTTTTTCCTTGTTTACTTTTTTTTAATTCAATACTGAAGAGCAAGAATAAGCATGCATAGTTAAATTTTGAGAGATTATTTATTTATATATTGGTTTTTGATACTATTCAAAGAAAAAGAGAGAGAGAGAAAGAATAGAAAAAAGAGAGCGAGCTCTCTGCTAGTACACGTACAATTTAGTCCATTTTATGATAGCCCAGAAGGGCGTTTTTCCTTATACCTTTTTAGCGTGGTCCATCTTGCTGCCAAGTTGAATGTTGTGGCAGAGGTACAGAAAACAGCTCCAGCCAAGAC